TCGCCGTAATTGAAACATTTTGCTTCGTCGTGGAGGAAGTATTGTAGACCTTTCGTTTATAAAATTTTTAGAAATGGTGAAAACAAATTTTCCTCTACATAGAAACATCTTATATGAGATCTTGATCAATTGTCCGGATGTATGTATGTATGTGTGTGGATCCCTTTTTTGTTTAGACGATAACTTGAACAGGTTTTAATGGATTTGGGAAAAATATGGTAGGCTTCTTTATCACATTAATTTCTCAAAAATGACGAGAGGATTTTTAAAAATACCCCCCAAAAAAATTTTTTTGTCTTTTTTCCAAAATTTTTTTTTAATTAAAAAATTTTTTAGATATAAAAATTTAAGGTAATATGTAATATAATCGTCTTCTTTACGTCAAGACGAATCGATTAGTAAAAAAAAGTATAGATATAGTATAGTACTCTCTAAATCTGAGTCAGTAGAAATTTTACTAATTCAATCAGTACTTTTCATTTTAACTGAAGTTTCAGTTATGTTTTGAAATTTACTAATATAATTAGTGAATATGTAAGCAATAGAAAATAACTTATGTAAATCAGTAATTTGTATATAACATAACCTTTAAAATTAACTGTTAAATCTGTAGATTTTGCGGCCGCTGCCATATGTTTATATTATTGACTCAATCAGTAATTTATATTTTACTAATTGAATCAGTAAATTTCTACTAATTATCAGTTGCTCAATTCTCGCTATGGCAATTAGTAGATTTCTACTGCTAATCAGTGAAATATGACTGATTCAGATTTAGAGAGTATAGAAGTATAGAATTGAATGAAATTAATAGAATTAATGAAAGTTAAAAAATCAAAAATTCACATTTTAGCAAAAAAATGTTGTTTTCGTAAATTCATGTTTATATATAAAATAATTTTATTCCCACCATTGAAACGGATTGGTTGATATATACTCTCTAAATCTGAATCAGTCATATTTCACTGATTAGCAGTAGAAATCTACTAATTGCCATAGCGAGAATTGAGCAACTGATAATTAGTAGAAATTTACTGATTCAATTAGTAAAATATAAATTACTGATTGAATCAGTAATATAAACATATGGCAGCGGCCGCAAAATCTACTGATTTAACAGTTAATTTTAAAGGTTATATACAAATTACTGATTTACATAAGTTATTTTCTATTGCTTACATATTCACTAATTATATTAGTAAATTTCAAAACATAACTGAAACTTCAGTTAAAATGAAAAGCACTGATTGAATTAGTAAAATTTCTACTGACTCAGATTTAGAGAGTACTATACTATATCTATACTTTTTTTTACTAATCGATTAGTCTTGACGTAAAGAAGACGATTATATTACATATTACCTTAAATTTTTATATTTAAAAAATTTTTCAATAAAAAAAAAATTTTTGGAAAAAAGACGATAACATTTTTTAGGGGGTATTTTTAAAAATCCTCTCGTCATTTTTGAGAGATTAATGTGATAAAGAAGCCTATCAAATTTTACCCAAATCCATTAAAACCTGTTAAAGATATCGTGTTCACAAAAATGATCCACACACACACACATATGGGTGATTCTCCGCGTAGCGCACGATTTGGTGTCTGAAACTTTAAAAATATTTTTTTATCGAAATGATAAATATCAATACATATTTTTGAAGATAAAGTGTCAAGAAATAAATATCCATGGTGGGCCGGAAAATTTTTTTATAATTTTTTAATTTTTTTAAACAAATTAAAAAAAATTCTTTCCTTGTTGAATTCTATAAAATAGTTGAAATTTGATTTAAAATGTTTATGGGAATTTTTGGGGTAATTCACAAAAATATATATAGCGCGAACGACAATTAAAAATTTTATTTCGGTAATTTATGGAAATTTATGCGGTAATTTATGGAAATTTATACGGTAATTTATATAAATTTATTTGGTAAGTTATAGTAAACTTACCGGAGCTATGATAGTTTATAATAAATATTTTTAATTTCGTTTGTTTCATTGTGTATTAAACTTGGACTAGTGACGGTCAAAATTTTGTGGCGGGTGGAGACGCTGGGGTCGGTCGAACCGGTGGAACTGATGTTAATAATTTTTATTTTTTTTTGAGAAAATTATCAATTATTTTTAATCGGTTTCATATGTTTCACATATATATAGACTAAAATAATATAACTACACTTTATTTAACCTTTATTATTTAATTATATTCTATTTTTTGAAATAATATTGAAGGGTCGGTGGATGCCGGTGGAGACGATTTTGTGATGCCCTGTACAAATTTGAATCTTAAAATGTGTAAAAAAAGGATAAATCAATTAGAAAATTGATTACTTTCTTCACGAACTTTTGCTGTTACTGAAGTAGAACTATATTAACATTTGACTTTTATTTAAATAATTCAATGTTTAATAATAAAACGCAGAATAACACACAAAAGTGCAGTCAAGTATAAATAACAAAAAAAAAAGAAAATAATTTTTTTTTGTTCAAACGTTTTTTTTATTCAATTCCACTACAATATACAATACTAAAATAGCAATGGAAATTGTATTTATTAGTGCACATTGCTAAAAATATTAACTTTTTTGTTTAAACATCCTGTGGGGACAGGTGAAATTTTGACGTTTTCAGCCTTAAAAACCACTTTTCACGAAAAATTATAATGTTAAATACAAAAATAACTATTGCTTTTTGGTTGTAGTCACAGAAATTACCTTTTTACATTAGAATTGAAATATTATGTGAATATTATTTGTGATTTTTCTTTCAAAACATGAAAAAAAGCAAGTTGTGCGCTACACACATACATACATACATCCGGACAATTGATCAAGATCTCATATAAGATGTTTCTATGTAGAGGAAAATTTGTTTTCACCATTTCTAAAAATTTTATAAACGAAAGGTCTACAATACTTCCTCCACGACGAAGCAAAATGTTTCAATTACGGTGAGGGAAAAAATTTGATCTCAAATAATTTAATTAATAATTGTTTAAATGTGCACCTTCATTAGTAATTGTATCAAAAAAAGATTAAAATAATTTTTTTTAATCATTTTGCATCAGTTATATTAAATATAATAGTAATAATAGTTATTTTTTATGAACGCGCCGTAATTGATGCACTTACCCTAATATTTAAAAATATTTAATTATTTATTTCTCTATTTATTATTTTAAAGTTTTGCTCTTAAATAATAATTTTATTGAAAGTTCTACGTATAAGAAAGTGCTATTTGACGTGTAATATTTTTGTAATATAGGGTAATACTCAGTAATACATATGTAATATTTTGTAATACAGTAATATTTTGGTAGTAGTATGTAATACTTGTAAAAAGTGTAATACTAAGGTAATAATGGTAATATGTGTAGTTGTAGTCAAGTGTACACAATTTTTACTAGTAAATTCCCCCTCGAGAAAAGCTAAGAAACAAAGCTTACTTTTTTCTAACTACATTTTAACACTATTTTTGGAAAAGTTATGAATATTAAATTACTGTCTGATGTTTATTCTATTTTTATAGCCGAAGAAAATAATGAAAAAATTTATATTAGTGATATAGACTATCAGATTATTTCAGAAGAAACAAAAATTCATTTGATAATAATGGAATTGACACAATATGAAGTATTTTTACCTTTAGAAAATTATAATTTTGAAACTCTAGGTCTTTTTAACTAATGCTTCTTAAACATTTCTATAAGTAGTGAGGATGGTAATTTTGTTTTTGAATTTTTAATATTGCAGTTAAGATGGTAAATAGGTGTCTTCTATTAAGTATTTCATTAACCTTATCAGATATGATAATTTTCGTTATTTTTAAGACTTTGTAACTATGTTTAAATTAAAGAAATTTGTCGATAAAAATATTCTTATATTAAATACCAATGTAAAAAAAATGTTAATAATTATAATAATAAATAAATATTAATTATTTAATATTGTATAACACATAGGTAAATATTATTTAAATTATACCATGTGGAAAAATTAAACTATGGTATAAATTTCTCATCGAATTAAACATGTATTAAAAAAATATTTATAAATAAAAAAAAATCGTTATTTTTTATAGAAAAAATTTATATAAATCTATACAGTTCAATTAAAAAAACTCACATCAAATGAAAATTTACTATTTAAATTATTTTTATTATTATTACTATTGAATTTACTATTTACTATTTACTATAATATTTTACTATAAACACAAAAATAAAGTAATATATTTAAAATTGTTAATATTTACATTTTCTATGCGCATATAATTTCAAGATTAGCGAATTATAAAAAATGAAATATTTCCACAATTGCTCTAACGACGTTCAATTACGATAATTCCAATTTCTTATATTTTATTACATTGCTAATTTATTGCAATTTAATATGAATAGTATTTATACAGGAAGTAACATTCTTGTTGACTTATTTAAAAAAATATTCTATTTATTATCATATTTTCGTTATCCATTAGCATTAAAAATTATAAATTTCTATTAATGTTTAAACACCTGTATAATCAGAATAAATAGAAATAGTTATTTCCGCGTCTATTATTTTATATGAAAAACTTTTTTAATTTATTCTAGTTTATTATAAAGGGTTCAATTAGACGTAGTAACATCTTAATTCTTGTTGACTTATTAAAAAAATATATTTATTTTCATATTTTCGGTATCAATTAGCATCATACATTATGAATTTCTGTTAGTTTTTAAACACATATATAAATAGAAAAAATAGAAATAATTATTTCCGCGTCTATTATTTTATATGAAAAACTTTCTTAATTTATTCTAGTTTATTATAAAGGGCTCAAACAGACTTAGGAACATATATTCTTGTTGACTTATAATTAAAAAATATTATAATATATATCAGTTTAGATATTAATTTACGTCATCGATATAAAAATTTTGTCCATTTTTACAATATCTATGTAAACATTAAGAAATATATAAGCAGTAAAAATTAATTAATTTTTTATCGAATGTTGTCAAACGACTAGTTACTAATGAAATAGTAAATCATGATTTCGTTAATATTCATAAAATTGCTTTTAATATTTGTGTCGAGTACAATTTCACAGCAAACACTACAATGGAATTTGGACGTAAGTTTTTAAAATATTAATTTATTTAATCACAATTATCGGGTTTACAAGAGAATAAAAAATGCCCTTTAGTGCAAAAGCACATACTCATTTAAGAAAAATATTAATTAAAAGATAAATTTGCTTCATCGTCACATGGATTTTACATATAAATTATAAATTCATCTTTTAGATTACTACACGAATTGTCGAGCCTTTAATTCAAGATTATTCAGAACCATGGACCAGTCAAAGAATTCAAAATCAAATCTTCCAATATAAAACTCATTTTGGTATTATAATTAAACAAGGTACAACATTTAATTTAACGGTAGAAACACCTTCCGAAATAGAAAATTTATATTTTTACTTTCTTGCTGATTTACCATATGAAAAATTAATCATATTAAATCTTGCGGGAGAAAAAAATATAACAAAAACTTTAACAACAAATTATGATGGCGTGCCTATGATATCTGCTTCAAAAAATGTTCCATTACGGATAATAATTGAAACCAAAAACTGGTTATCATTGCCAATTTACAATTCTAATGATGTATCACTTTCAACATTACAAGAATATCAGTCTGAATTTTACAAAAATGTAAAGATTTGCGGATTTGTTGAAAATTATTATGCACAAATGTTATTGTCAGCAAATGATATTGATAATCTAAAATTGCATAATTACAATTTATGTCTTGGTTTAGAAAAACAGAGTCATTTAATACAGAATTATGATTATTCAACTAAATTAAGGGCCAATGAAGATAAAAATAAAGAATCTTTTATGAGAGTAATGGATCGAACAACATTATTTATACGTTCAGAAAAATGTAACCATGCTAATAATACACAAGTATCTTCGCCATCAATTTTACAAAGTGATAATAAATCTTTTAATTCTACAAACAATCTAACAATACAAAGATGTCAGGAGACAAATTTAAACCGTCATTTTATTTCTGGTATTGATTTTGGTATAAATCCTGAAAATTTGCAAACTACAGGCGTGAAAGGAGATTTGAAACCTGATTCTTCTTTGATATTGAAGAAAAAAATGAACGAAATCTATGTTAATGTTACTTTTACCATTGAATCACCAATTGATCTAACAAATTCTTGTCTATATTTGAATGACAAATGTCACACTATTGTTGGAAAAGTCATGAATATAAAATTATTACCAGATGTTTATTCTGTTCATCTAAAAGAACAAATTGGTGATAAAACGTATATCAGTGATAAGAAAAATCATAAAATTTCACAATTTATGTCAATTAAAGTCGAAGTAAGAGAAATTCAAAAAGAAATTTTACAAAAAATAGAGAATAATTTAAAATATGAATTTGATGCTTTGGGTTATGTTGATGTAGTCTTTTTAAAAATACTTATAAATTACAAAAACATGACAATTGAATTAAAACAATTACTTAAGACTATTAATGTAAACTTTAAATTATATTTTATAATCAGTTTAGAACGAAATGGTTCGACTGTTTTTGAAAATGAACTTTTAGGTTCTCCTCAAAATGATGAAAAGCTTATTAATTTAGTGCAGAGATTTCAGTACAATGATATAATTCATATTTATCATGCCGAACCAGGTCGCCTAACGTCAAATTATGAAGGTCTCAATAAGAAAATACAAAATAATAACTTTATTTTGGCACATAAAGGTTTACAAACCATTAATTATAACTTGACAGGATTAAATAATGAAAAATATTTATTTTATGCTTTAGGCAATGATGATAGGCTGTTCTTAAAAGTTTCCATAAATTATAAGACAAGGACAATAGAATTACATCAATTACTTAACGATATTCATAGGCATTTTGAATTATATTTTTCTATTAGTTTAGAACGAAATGGTTCGTCAATTTTAGATTATAAATTCCTTGGTTCTCCCCAAAATGGTGAAAATCTCATTAAATTGAAAGAGAAATTTCAGATTAATGATACAATTCATATTTATCACGTCGAACCAGATCGTTTAAATTCTAATTTGGAAGGATTTAAAAATAAAGCTCAAAATAATAAATTTATTTTGTCAAATAAAGGTTTGCAGATTGTTAATTACACACAAATAGAATTATGTAATTTAAAATATGAATTTGATGCTTTAGGTATATTTGATAAAGTGTTCTTAAAAATTTACATAAATTACAGCACAATGAGAATAGAATTAAAACAATTGATCAAAGCTATTCATTGGTACTTTAAATTATATTTTATAATCAGCTTAGAACGAAATGGTTTGACTGTTTTTGAAAAGGAATTCTTTGGTTCTCCCGAAAATGATGAAAAGCTTATTAATTTGGTGCTAAGATTTCAGTACAATGATAAAATTCATATTTATCATGCAGAACCAGGTCGCCTAACGTCAAAATTTGAAGGTCTTAATAAGAAAATACAACATAATAACTTTATTTTGGCACATAAAGGTTTACAAACCATTAATTATAACGGATTAGAGTTAAATAATGTAAAATACTTAATTTATGCTTCAGGCAATGCTGATAGGATGTTCTTAAAAGTTTACATAAATTACAAGACAATGACATTAGAATTACACCAATTACTTAATGATATACATCCGAATTTTGAATTATATTTTTCTATTAGTTTAGAACGAAATAGTTCTTCTATTTTTGATTATAAATTCCTTGGTTCACCCCAAAGTGGTCAAAAGCTTATTAAATTGAAAGAGAAATTTCAGATTAATGATACAATTCATATTTATCACGTCGAACCAGATCGTTTATATTCTAGTTTGGAAGGATTTGACAGTAAAGTTCAAAATAATAGTTTTATTTTGTCAAGTAATGGTTTGCAGATTGTTAATTACACACAAATAGAAATATATAATTTAAAATATGAATTTGATGCCTTAAATATGTTTGATAAGGTGTTTTTAAACATTTACGTAAATTACAGCTATATGAGAATCGAATTAAAACAATTGCTCAACACTATTCATAGGTACTTTAAATTATATTTAATAATTAGCTTAGAACGAAATGGTTCGACTATTTTTGAAAAGGAATTCTTTGGTTTTCCTGAAAATGACGAAAAGCTTATTAACTTTGTGCAGAGTTTTCAGTACAATGATATAATTCATATTTATCATGCCGAACCAGCTCGCCTAACGTCAAAGTTTGAAGGTCTCAATAAGACAATTCAAAATAATTACTTTATTTTGGCACATAAAAGTTTACAAACCATTAATTATAACGGCACAGGATTAAATAATGTAAAATACTTATTCTATGCTTTAGGCAATGCTGATAGGATGTTCTTAAAAGTTTACATAAATTACAAGACAATGACATTAGAATTACACCAATTACTTAATGATATACATCCGAATTTTGAATTATATTTTTCTATTAGCTTAGAACGAAATAGTTCTTCCATTTTTGATTATAAATTCCTTGGTTCTCCCCAAAATGATAAAAAGCTTATTAAATTGAAAGAGAAATTTCAGATTAATGATACAATTCATATTTATCACGTCGAACCAGATCGTTTGTATTCTAATTTGGAAGGATTTGACAGTAAAGTTCAAAATAACAGTTTTATTTTATCAAATAATGGTTTGCAGATTGTTAATTACACACAAATAGAAATATATAATTTAAAATATGAGTTTGATGCTTTAAATATATTGGATAAGGTGTTCTTAAACATATACATAAATTATAGTGCTATGAGAATAGAATTAAAACAATTGCTCAACACTATTAATGGGTACTTTAAATTGTATTTTATAATCAGTTTAGAACGAAATGGTTCGACTGTTTTTAAATACGAATTCTTAGGTTCTCCTCAAAATGATCAAAAGCTTATTAATTTTGTGCAGAGATTTCAGTACAATGATATAATTCATATTTATCATGCCGAACCAGGTCGTCTAACGTCAAAGTTTGAAGGTCTCAATAAGACAATTCAAAATAATAACTTTATTTTGGCACATAAAGGTTTACAAACCATTAATTATAACGGAACAGGGTTAAATAATGTAAAATACTTAATTTATGCTTTAGGCAATGCTGATAGAGTGTTCTTAAAAGTTTACATAAATTACAAGACAATGACATTAGAATTACACCAATTGCTTAATGATATACATCCGAATTTTGAATTATATTTTTCTATTAGTTTAGAACGAAATAGTTCTTCTATTTTTGATTATAAATTCCTTGGTTCTCCACAAAATGATGAAAATCTCATTAAATTAAAAGAAAAATTTCAGATTAATGATACAATTCATATTTATCACGTCGAACCAGATCGTTTATATTCTAATTTAGAAAGATTTGACAGTAATGTTCAAAATAATACTTTTATTTTGTCAAATAATGGTTTGCAGATTGTTAATTACACACAAATAGAATTATATAATTTAAAATATGAATTTAATTTTTTTGGTAGATTTAATCATCTGTGCTTGCAAATGTACATAAATTACAGCACTATGAGAATAGAATTAAAACAATTGCGTAATAATATTCATTGGCTCTTTAAATTATATTTTATAATCAGCTTAGAACGAAATGGTTCGACTGTTTTTGAAAATGAATTCTTTGGTTATCGCATAAATGATGCACTTATTAATTTGGCGCAAAGATTTCAGTACAATGATATAATTTATATTTATTATGCCGAACTAGGCCAACTAAGGTCAAATTTTGATGGTAACAATAATAAAATACAAAATAATAACTTTATTTTGGCACATAAAGGTTTACAAACCATTAATTATAACAGAACAGGATTAAATAATGTAAAATACTTATTTTATGCTTTAGGCAATGATGATAGGCTGTTCTTAAAAGTTTCCATAAATTACAAGACAATGACATTAGAATTACACCAATTACTTAATGATATACATCCGAAATTTGAATTTTATTTTTCTATTAGTTTAGAACGAAATAGTTCTTCTATTTTTGATTTTAAATTCTTTGGTTCTTCCAAATATGATGAAAAGCTTATTAAATTGAAAGAGAAATTTCAGATTTTTGACATAATTCATATTTATCACGTCGAACCAGATCATTTAAATTCTAATTTGGAAGGATTTGTAAGTAGTGCTAAAAATAATACTTTTATTTTGTTACATGATGGTTTGCGGACACTTAAATAAGTTTCTTTGTATCAAAAAACGTTTCTTTGAATCAAGATAATTTGTGCATTTTTGTAGGGTCAAAGAAAAATTTCTTTGATTTAAAGAAATTATTTCTTTACTAGTCCGTAGGGTAACTACAGGTGTTCCTGTGGGTGACCCAAGTTTTTAGATAGTTATTATTATTTACCATTTATGAATATATGAATTGTTAAAAATGACTGCAAAAATTATTCTACATCTTACTTGATGAAATAGGCAAGAAAAATGTGCATTTCGTTAATTATTAATGTAATTATTTAAGTTTAAAGTAGACTATGGCTGAATTTAATGAAATTATCGAATGTGTCAGCCATGAACACCTATTAGAAAACGTTTATATTTCAACAAGCAATACCCTCATTTATACAATTATTTTTGTGTAAATATTTGTAAGAAATATTGAGCGTTTAAATATTGAATATTATGAATTTTTAAATTATCTTTAAAATATATTTTGGAATCTTCAGAACAAAAATCAATATTTGAAAACAGCAATAAAACTTATGAATATTCGCCTAGAATAGGGCCCGAGTGCCATACGGATTAAGCCAATTAAGATTCTTCAAGGGACCGGAAAAAATCCGAATAATGCGGTTCCGATATACGTGGGTTTTATTGTAACAAATATATGAGAGATTCTTTTTCAATCGCCCCAGCCCAAAAAGTCAATGTTCTGGGATTGGCTTCATACTTTGGTAAATTGTTCTCCTATATGATAGTAATAAATCCCTAAAATATAAACTCATTAAAAAAATATTTGTAGAAAGTAGAGGGGGTTGAAGTTTTGACGTTAAGGGTAACATTGTCATTTTCAAATCCGTTTAACTATGACAAAAGTTAATGGATTTTAATTTATCTATAATGAATTTTATTGCATTTTTCACGTACTTTTCAAAAATGTATACGAAATTTAAAAAAAAAAATTTTTAACCCCTTTTTTTTCAAAATCAACCCTTATTTTTCGATCTTCACCCCTTCGGGTATTTTTTTTTTTTTTTTTTTATTTTCATTGGAAAGCTGAGGTTTTTTCCCATGAGCTATGTAAATATGAAAATGGGACAACAATAATTTTGTGAGTAACAGAATATTAAAGTAGGCGGTGCCGATAAGGGGTGTACCTGGAGATCATCTTTGAGGATTTAGATAGGCACCGCCTAATTTAATATTATGTTTCTCACAAAATTATTGTTGTCCCATTTTCATATTTACATAGCTCATGGGAAAAAACCTCAGCTTTCCAATGAAAATAAAAAAAAAACAAAAAAAAATTCCCGAAGGGGTAAAAATCGAAAAATAAGGGTTGATTTTGAAAAAAAGGGGGTCAAAATTTTTTTTTTAAATTTTGTATACATTTTTGAAAAGTACGTGAAAAATGCAATAAAATTCACTATAGATAAATTAAAATCCATTAACTTTTGTCAAAGTTATACAGATTTGAAAATTACAATGTTACCCTTAACGGCACCCTTATCGGCACCGCCTACTTTAATATTCTGTTACTCACAAAATTATTGTTGTCCCATTTTCATATTTACATAGCTCATGGGAAAAAACCTCAGCTTTCCAATGAAAATAAAAAAAAAAAAAAAAAAATACCCGAAGGGGTGAAAATCGAAAAATAAGGGTTGATTTTGAAAAAAAAGGGGTTAAAAATTTTTTTTTTAAATTTCGTATACATTTTTGAAAAGTACGTGAAAAATGCAATAAAATTCATTATAGATAAATTAAAATCCATTAACTTTTGTCATAGTTAAACGGATTTGAAAATGACAATGTTACCCTTAACGTCAAAACTTCAACCCCCTCTACTTTCTACAAATATTTTTTTAATGAGTTTATATTTTAGGGATTTATTACTATCATATAGGAGAACAATTTACCAAAGTATGAAGCCAATCCCAGAACATTGACTTTTTGGGCTGGGGCGATTGAAAAAGAATCTCTCATATATGTATATAGTAACTTTTTAACACTCCCCAAATGTTATTTGGAATAAAACTAATTTTACATAAAATCATTTGACTTTTTCATTTGAAATAAAACTCATTTAACATAAATCTGATTTATCATAAAAATTGCATTTTCTATCCTCGTTTTACACACTGAAGATTATGCGTAAGACATGGTCAACATTGACCTTAAATGTAGAAAAAGTCGTTCACTTGTAATAGACAACCAACTTATGATGCTCTAAAAGAGAAAATCAGTTTCTAAAATTGCTAAAAATAAAAAAGTTATAAATGAAGTATGAAGTGTATTAAATATATATATACATTTTATATAATATTTACAAACACTATTTATATAATATTTTTCCATATTACTTATTTTAATAAACAAATTTAGAAACTACATTTTCTTTTGTAATTTTTCGTATTCTTTGCTTAAAACTTTAAAAAAAAGAATAACAAAAGAATTATTTACATGCTTTTTACTTCAATTAAGAATTCGCATTTCAAATTTAAAGGATTTGTTAAGTAATAGGAAAAAAACGTCTAAATAGTGTATATCATCAGTTTAGCAATTGTTTTCAAATCTGTCAAGTTTTAAATTTCATAAAAAGGTGTTTATATATAAAAGAGATAGAGAGAAATCTGCGACATTTATTATTCATTTTTGTAACTACCAAAAGTTTATTTATAGTAATAAAAATAATAAAACATTTATGAACAAAAATGTGTTTATTTTTCTAACGATTAACTTTAAGAATAATTATACTTAAGGTAAAGGCACCAATTATTGTCAACGATTTTGTCGACCTAAAATATTACCTTGAAATAGTTAATTTCTTAGTGAATCTGAAATTTATTCATTATATTTTTATAATTACAACATAAAATAAGCATAATATAATATATTTATAATTGTTTAAATGGCGCATTATTATCCAATAATAATTATTACTTTTATTTAGAATTTTTATTTTCAAGAATTTTATTAGATATTATTATTTTTTAAATGAATTTTTTACTTAACACAAATTTTAGGTACCGAATTTTTATTATCGAGAATTTTAATTTAGCATAATTGTCATTTAATTGAATTTTAAGTTATTAAAAAATTTTTAAATTCAGGATGTCCAGCGATTCTTGAAAAGAAAATTTAAGGACTTTTCAAGGTTTTTCAAGGCCTAAAATAATTTTTTTCAAGGTCCACTTTTGGCGTAAAAACTTTGAAAAACTGTTATTAGAGTTACTAATGTAACTGTTACCAATGATGGAATAAACTCTACTTATCAATTTTTCTCAGTTAAGGATGTATTCGGTGTATAGGCCTTTTTTTGGGGTTAAATTTCAGGATTTTTTTTATTATAAAATAAAATATATCACACCAAATCTTTTTACTTCGTTTTATTCTCATCATGAAGTGTTGAAAAAAATTATAATCGATTATTTTTTAATAGATTTTGTTATTTACATTTAATATTAATGTTTATAACAAAAAATTGCCAATTTTTGAATCTTTTTGCTTATAAGTCCGCCATTTAGTTATTTATTAACAAAATTGTTTTATTCTAGTACGGGCCATAAATATCATCATCAAATCATAATTATGTCAAATGAAATTTATGACAATTGAATATTATATCAAATAAATGTTATTAATTTAAAATTATTTCTTAGGTGAATTTTCAAATAAAGTGTCAATTCAAGTCCATAATTTAATTTCAATATATAAAAATCAACATCATACTAAATATAATTTAAAATTCTGTGTAATGAGTTTTATGTCAATTAAGTTTTAAGTAAAATGAGATTTATATATGAGGGGCTGATAGTAAAAATGGTTTAAAATAACATTGGGAGCAAAAATGGGATAAGTGACTTGGGAGCAAAAACGGGTTAAAATGATTCGTGTAATTTATTGATAAATTCATTATATTATCGATTAAAAAATATTAACAATAGGAAAAAATGCATATTTTATTATAATTAATATTTTTTAATCGATAATATAATGAATTTATCAATAAATTACATGAATCATTTTAACCCGTTTTTGCTCCCAAGTCACTTATCCCACTTTTGCTCCCAATGTTATTTTAAATCATTTTTACTATCAGCCTCTCATATGTCAAATGAATTTTAAATCAAATGCAATTTATGACATTTGAATTTTATATCAAATGAGAATTTATGTCAAAATAAAATTTATGTCATATAAGATTTATATCAAAATAATTTTACGTTAAATGATTTAATGTCAAATGAAATTAGGGGGTTTAATCATGCGAGTCTCCATTTTTATTTAATTAAAAACAATAATAAAATGTTAACACGTATTATTTTTATATCGTTAGCGTTAAATTTTTTTATTTAAAAACGTTATGGTTTTATAGAATGTCAAAGTTAGAAATTATATTGTTTTACTAAACAAGAGGAACAAATTATAATAAATTGACAACAATACCTTGACTTATCTATGAAATTATATTTCATTATTGTTATTGAAAAAAGAAAAACTGCTTTTAAGGTGATGCTTTCTTGAAGTTTATTGACTTTTATAATTTCTATTATTTAATTTTTTTGCTTTGAATTCTAAAGAAGAATAATAATTTAGCTAGTCCTTTCCATTATTTATTTACTTAAATTACAACTTTCTTCGAGAAGGGAAACCTAGCATTTACAGGTGGGAGGTAAATTATAAAGCAGCACTCAACGGTGAGTGGCTCTATAGCATTCGCCGATGAATAGTTCTTAAATCTTAGAATAAAGATTAAGTATTTCATTTAGTGTATTTAATGTTATTTTATTTTTTCAAATAAAAATATTTGATCAATTTAACAAACCAAAGTGCCTGAGAATCTTTAATGCTTTGAAATTAAATTTTTTTCACATAAATTCCACATATAATAATTGATACAATCATTAATCAAAGTGTTAGAAGATAATTGTGTGCACTGGTCCAGAGACAGAATAAATTATACATTTTTACTTAAACGGATTACTACATTTGGCGTAAGTTTATTTAGCAATAATTAACTTTTTTTACTTAAAGAATTTTATTTAGAATTGTAAATATAATGCAAATATGCTTTATCAAGCTTTCCCTGCATTCTAATTGCCTTTTATATATATCAAACTTTCATCTAAAGTTTCATCTCCGGTTAGTACGTAGTATTTTTAAGGAAGTTGATTTAAAATGTATTGCATGTACTGTACTTCAGCTGACTATTGTAGTAATATGTTTTTAACGTTAGCGTAAAATCTTAAAATATATGTCGTTTTATTGAGAATAAAAAGAATTTTTTTTTTTGCTTTTTTTCAATAACTACAGGGTTCTATTTATACTATTAAACTAATATGGTTCATTTATTTTAAAATAATTTTATTTTTTTTTTATTTAAATGAAATAGTAATAAATGCAACTAAGAAAGGTAACTAAATGTGCTTTGGATTTTAGAATGTAAAAATAATGACAACAAATTACAGTGTAAAGGGGTCAAAATTCCTCAAGCTATTTAAAGGAGAAAAAAAAATTTTCAGATTTGCTTGTAACATTCAGATACTTTAGCCTTGTGTTTGAGTTCTTCAACCGCTAATGATTTTTCATCAGATTTAAATATTCACTTTTTGAATTAAAAAAATAAAATCAAGAAATCTGTAGAAGTCGATTTTGGAATTTGAAATAGTTCATAATTCATTTGTTAAAGCAAAGTTACCAAAGTAGTAAATTTTCGGAACAAAAGTTTTTTTTTTTGTTCACATGATCTAAGACATAAATTAATTTAGTATGATCTCCAAAACAAATAAATAATGCACGATATGATTTATTTTAATTGTTATAAATAATACAAACTCAACAAATAATTTACTATGGTCCTTTTCTACCAAAAATTGTTATTCTTAATTTTATATTTAAATTTTGTATTATTTCAAAAATATGTTTTTTTGTTTAAATTGTTTCCAGTTTTTTATTTAAACATTTTTTTTAAACAAAATACAACTTTTTCAGTATTAAATATACATTTTTCAAAATTTAATTATTTAAAAAAAAATATTATCAATAATTACTCCCAAAAATTAATTATTATTTTCAATAATTTTAATGAAGATCTTTGAAAATTCAGTTATTTAAATCATTTCTCAATTCAAAATTCTCTAATATTCAATTACTATTTGATTATTTGATTACTTAAAAATTTAGTTAATTAAAACATTTTTCAATTCAAAATTTTCTAAAATTCAATTATTACTATCTAAAGCTTATAAAACGTCTTAACCAATTCAAATTTATGAAAATATTAATTAAAAATCTGCTGAAATTCAATTATTTCTAAAAATCTTAACTCAAATTCTAAAATTAGGTTATTTCTAAAATTTTTATCTAAAATACTTTACGAAATTAATTATTTCTAATAACTTCCCAAGTAGCACGGAATATTGCTTGAATTTGAAGGTGATATCAAGTGGGAATATTCCTGTGACATTGAGGCGATATCATAATGTCCGCTTTACGGGGACATTTCACGGTGATATTCCTGTGATATTCCCCTGGCGGATTCGATTTGCGTAATGTCTACTTAACTAAGTGGACTTTAGGTAGACATTAGGTAAACATGTAAAAAAACGTATAAAAAAGCTATTAATCGACTTATTATGATAAAAAAAAGTTGATAAAAGGGTAAATGAATGTGTATAGAGTAAATTCGTACAAAATTTGTAATTAATAAAGCATTAAATAATTAATAATGAATGGAAATGTGCGCGAGGTACCTGATCAGTTCAGCTGTACAATTATTTTCGTGCTATTTTCATGAAAAGAATATAAATTAACGGCAAAAACAATTGATATTTATAAAAAAGTGTAAAATTAATTTAATTTGAGTGTTTGCAATACGAATTATTAAATAATAATTAAGTTTTTATCAAATGTGAATAGTGTTGTGAAAACCTGTGAAAACTAATGAGTTACTACATTACCGATCGCATATGATAATAAAAAGTTCTCGATGAGTGTAACAAAAAAGCTGTAATTTAACCAAGTACATAATTTCCGAGATTGCCAGAGATGGCGCCACCAGTTTTTACAATACAGTGCGAGCATGTTTTCTTCCAAGCTTTTGCTTTGAAAGAAAATAAAAAGTGAATTTTAAAATGCAGAATAAAGTTATACAAATAATTATTGATTTCATAATTGTTTCTCGTCCAAAATTACGGACATGATTGCAGCTTTTTTGTTACACTCATCGAGAACTTTTTATTATCATATGCGATCGGTAATGTAGTAACTCATTAGTTTTCACAGGTTTTCACAACACTATTCACATTTGATAAAAACTTAATTATTATTTAATAATTCGTATTGCAAACACTCAAATTAAATTAATTTTACACTCTTTTATAAATATCAATTGTTTTTGCCGTTAATTTATATTATTTCATGAAAATAGCACGAAAATAATTGTACAGCTGAACTGATCAGGTACCTCGCGCACATTTCCATTCATTGTTAATTATTTAATGCTTTATTAATTACAAATTTTGTACGAATTTACTCTATACACATTCATTTACCCTTTTATCAACTTTTTTTTATCATAATAAGTCGATTAATAGCTTTTTTATACGTTTTTTTACATGTTTACCTAATGTCTACCTAAAGTCCACTTAGTTAAGTAGACATTACGCAAATCGAATCCGCCAGGGAAGCTTATCTAAATTTTTTTCTGGTGCATAAAATTAATCCTGAGAATGTAAATAACAACTTAAAAAAAATAAACCCGCAAGTATTATCTTTTAAAGGAAGAAACTTACGTAATTTGTGAAAAATAGCGATTTTGTCCCCATTTACCCCAACTGACCCTATAAATAATTTTAGTTAAATAGGGTCAGCCGGGGTAAATCCGAACGGGGGGTAAATCCGAACGCTAATTATTTCAGCTTAATTAAAATTTTTAAAAATAAGTTCGATATGAGAATTTGTACCTCAGATCCTCTTCAAGAGATTCTAAGTATTATCCCATTTTTCGTTTGTTAATTAGCAACAGCATAAACAAAGATAACGAGTATTGCAAAAAAGATTGAAAATCAAAGATGACACTCTTTCAGTATTTTGTCTCGTATTTGAAGAAAAAGAAGCTAAAAATTTATTTTATTATTTATAATTGTTTGTTATGAATACTAGAACAGAAACTATTTTTCATTTTTGCCTTCTGTAAAATTTTATTAATAATATCCGACCGTTCGTATTTACCCAGGAAAATTGGAAAACCGGGGTAAATCCGAACGGTATTTTCAATAATTTTTTTTTACATCAGAGCCACACAAAATTGTTTTTATTTCATTACACTATTATTTTAACATTATAAAAGTACATAGAAAAAAGTTTTTCTTTCTATACGTATCCTCGTTAGTAATTAATAAGCAGAAACTTAATCTCTGTTCTCTCGAAGGAGTGTTTCAATTTTTTTGCCAAATGGTTTGTTGAAAAAAGTTTTTCAGGATCTTAATAAAATTTGGTATTCTACGGTTTTTGGGGTCGCTAATTACCAATTTGAAGTCAGTTTTTCAAAATTCAAAATGGCGGACGAGAATTAAAAAATTCATTGGATTCGCTCGAAAATTGTTACTCGGGGGGTTTCAGGGTTAGCAAATTTGATCATTTTTAAAAACAAGTTTTAGGAAAGTCCGCCATTTTGAATTTAAAAAATTTCACTTTTATTTTTGTATTTACATTCAATCACTCCAAAATACTTTCTGTAGCAAGTTTTGTAAAAATCCGTTATGATTTGATAAAGTTATTGAAGGTTTTAATTGTGTAATGCATTTTAATTTTTAACCTGTTTGATTTTTGTATTTATATATGATGCATTATTACATAATAGGTTTATTATCGTATTTTTTTTGAGTTTTTATATAAGTTTAACAATTGCAATACTTTAAATTTATTTTCCCTAAGATTTTTCTGAAATACAGTGGCGTTCGTATTTACCCCGGTATTTTAGGAAAGTTGCAAAGTATCGAGGTAAATACGAACGCTAAGTTTCCTGCTATTGTAATTTATCAAAAATTTTTGCTACCCCATAAAATTGTTCTATGGAAGTAAAGTAACAACTTCATGCACCAGAATACCGGTAGTATTTTTTTTAAAGAAAAAACTTATGTTATTGTTGAAACTTACTAAAAGCGTTCGGATTTACCCCGGTTGACCCTAATCTGTTTTTCATAAAAATATTTTAAAAAATTTTTAATTTATTAAAATTGTTTTAAACGTTTGTTTAAAATTGTTATCTATTTTTTATTAAAGGTTAAACGTTCTTTTATTTTTTTAATCCTATAAAATAATTCTACACAGTACTTAGAGCTGTTAGGAATGCAGTCACGACTTTGAGCGAAGAATTTATTGCTATATTCGTAGCTCTGAATAATTTGTTGTCTATAGAGGTGTGCAAAAAGCACACACACAGTGTGTCAAGCCGAGTCAAACTTAAGCTTGACTCGAGGTATCGAGTACTCGAATTTTTCTAACACTCGAGTGAATTCGAGTACTCGAATACAGTCGAGTACTTGAGTGAATTCGGAATTTTCAAGTACTAGAGTGAATTCGAGCACTCGAAGTTTTCGAGTTCTTGAAAATATTCGAGTACTCGAATGAATTCGAGCATATTAAACGTTCAATTTTTATTGTTTTGCAAAAATTACTAAATTAATCAACAGATAAATGAATGACTACATATTTGAAACTATAAACTCATGAAAAAATGTGACGCGCTCCGAAGAAAGGTACCTAAGAAGGAAAAAATCGATTTCTGGATTATTGTAGTTTTAGGTTAATTAAGGGTTCCTGTTTCATTATCTGAAGTCAAAAAACACTTTCACTAAATATTTTTTATGTTATTAGAACTTAAACATCAGCTGTTTGTAGAGAAAGTTGATCCTCTTTCTCCACTGCTGTTACACCAATACACTCACGCACAGTGAATCCATGAGGTGATCGAAGTTCGGATCGAGTTCGG